ATCTCTAAACATTCTAAATTAAATATGAATAATTAAAAATCTACTCAAGACAAAGTTGAAATTGTTTAAACTTCTACTTATATTCAAATATAAGTACTTGCTGATAAATACACATATCTTTCATTACATAATTATTTGATACATTTTATTAATATTATTTTAATAATAATACTATTACTCTACATTTAATAATAAGCAATGTATCAAAAATTATGTATGTATGTGATAGAAACGAATTCTTATCAACATCATTAGAATTTGTTTAAATTGTTAGTTTTAAGATAAAATTTTTATATTTCAAATTTAGATATCCCAATTGAAAGTTGTGAAGATACGCGGTAGATATAAAGCATCTAGAGTCTAGAGTTACGAATCAATATAACCTCAGCCGCTTTGGTCGCGGTCAAGGTTCTGTTCCGCGAAAGTCATTGGTATTGAAAATTCGGTAATTATGTATAAGAATACGTGTGGTATACATATTTATCTGAATTAAATCAGAATGAAATTAAAAAATCATTTTATTTTATTCGAAGTAAATATTAAGCGAAGATGTCTAAAACATAACAAATTATTTAACAAATTAAGCAAAAATTATTCTGCTGTATTATTCCAGAATAGCTATAACCGGGTACAAGACTATTTCTTTAATTACGAATCTAAATAAGCAGGCAAAATATTCATATGTATAGATACATGCGTACGCAGATAAACTATACTTAAATATATATTTCTTATCTCACAAGTCACGAAGGTTACGTAAACGCAAATTAAGCTTGCGGAAGAATGTCTACAGTCTACGGTAGCTATTCAACATAAAGGACACACCTAAGTATTGCGAAATGTCTGTTTTGTCTATTTCCTAGCAAACAGATTGTACATATATTAGATTGGAATATAAAACTTATCGGGAAAATGTGTCAAAACCGTTATATTAATTCAGTCATAAAAAACTATGTGTACCTACTAGTAAACAATTTACTACTTTCTAGTCTGTACATGTGATCTGACAGTCCAACACTTGAAGTTAACAACATGAAGTCAACTTTATTTAATATAAAGATATGACATCATTTGTACATGTGTTTACTTGAAATTGATAAAGTGTGTGTCTCACGATTATTTAAACTTTTACGATAAAAATATATGAATTCCTATAATCTCATACTTCCTATTAAAACACATATAGAACATATTAACTTTTGCAAGTTATTAAATTGAAATTTCTAAATTAACGAGAAAAATGAAGCAAATATTTTATTAAAAAAAAAGTCTCATAATAAATTACTTACCACATTGGGTGGAAGTTGATGACCTGGAAGATATTTTACATTTTCGTGTGTCTCATTGATAATTTCAGTTAATTTTCTTCCATTGATAATTTCTTCATACACATACATTGTAACACAGTCATCAAAAATGCTTTGTGTACTAGCATTTGCTCCAACTATCTTCGCGATAGCCGAACCCCTGGAAAGCATATGAGATGAAATTGAAAACGCTAACAAAACTATCACTTATACAAATTTAAAGTTTACGCAAATCTGTATGCAACTAAAAAATGTTTCATTAAAAACTTATGCTCCCTAAGCTTCTTCGAGTAACTTAATTATACAACATGCGATTTTCATCGATTCTTTATAAGTAAAAATCTAAGTATTTAAAATAATAACATTCGTTGAAATATAATCTGAAATGTGCATCATTTTTACAGCATGATTTTCTATGCAATGTGCTGTTATCATTATTTGCGTAATTCTTAACGCATGTTTCTATAAATATCATAAAAGTACTACGATAGATTCTGAGTACGGCAAAATCAGTGACACTTGTTCTAAAATAATAGTAAGCACCAAATACGAAAGTATATATGTACTTCGTAAGAATAATAAATAAGAAGCAATTTTACGTCCGTGACATTTCAGACGAAATTTGCTAAATTGACGTTGGAGATGTTTTCGGTTATGGAAAATAGAGGTTTTAGTATTTGCGGCAGCGTACCAGTTTCCAGATCCAATAATACAAACACGTTGTTTAGCTGCCATGGTCTTGCTTGCTCCAAATGTCGGAGATACACGTTTAAACAATGTAAAGAATCGAGGAGTGTTAGACACGACCTGTGCAACTCTGAAGCAAAGGGACGACTGGAACAGCTTCGCACATGAGAAGACTTGCGCTATTTTCCGTGGAAGTGGCAGCGCACATATACATACCAATGATCGTGTTGATATTAACGAACGTTGATAGCTGAGACATTATCGCAATTCAGATTGCTTCAAGATACATAAATACACTCTGATAAAAGTTGTCGCCTTCCAATTGTGTTGTTTTATATAAATTCGAAAGCAATAGTTCTTTTAAACAAAACACTAAACGATTTTAATTATTTTAAACGTATATTGCTTATTGTTAATAAGATATTATTGTATGTACATACCTATTTTATTGTATTGTTAAATGTGTGTGGAATAAAAGAAGGCAATATTAATAGATATCACATTTGCATATTGCTGATTTTTCATAACTGAAAATCAGTTGTAATTCGACTCTGTGTTATTTTTATAATTTACGTGATAAATTACGTGATAAATCAAGGTCTGTTACGGAAAAATGTGAAACGATATTAAATAACTTACGCGCATATTATTTTCTCTTTACGGTAAAATATTTGATTCTGCATATAACAAAAGAATATTTTATCTGTTTCAGCAACGTCTAAAGCTATAAGATATGTAGTGCATATTTTCAGTTTACATAATTTAATAACTATATAATAAATGGATATTAAAGTAGCAATGAAAATTAAGAATAATATATTGTAAATATT